TTAGGGCTGTCAGATTCGAGCCGCCATTCTCGGAGCCAACGACGGCTTAGTATCCATCGCGTCACTAATGATGGGAGTTGGTGCCGTTAAAGACGACATCAAGGCGATGATTCTCACCGGGTTCGCCGGATTATTCGCCGGAGCTTGTAGCATGGCCATAGGCGAGTTCGTCTCCGTGTACTCTCAGAGAGACATAGAGATAGCTCAGATGAAGAGAGAGAAGATAAACAAAAATATTACTACTACTACTACTACTAATAATAGTATGGGTGAAAACGAGAAGGAGAAGCGGCTTCCGAACCCTTTTCAGGCGGCACTGGCGTCGGCACTAGCATTTGCGTTGGGGGCCGTTGTGCCGTTACTTGCGGCTGGATTTGTAACCGAACGTGAGGTGAGGCTTGCGGTGGTGGTGGGGGCCACCACCTTGGCGTTGGCGGCGTTTGGCGGGGTAGGGGCGGTGTTGGGAGGGACTAGTAGGGTGGGGGTGTCTTGTGGTAGGGTGGTGGTGGGAGGGTGGATGGCAATGGGGATCACTTTCGGTCTCACTAAGTTACTTGGCTCTACTGGTTTGGGAATGTGAAACATTGATCATGTTTCATTACATGTATTTTTAATTATTTGTGTTTTCTGTTTTAGTATGTAATAAAATATTAAGTTTGGTTTGTGGGGGCAGTTTGTAATTTGTAATATTATTGGGGACAAATAAAACATATGCTCATGGTTATCAAATCGTAAATCAAATTGAAAATCATTTTGTCGAAAATGCGATTCGCAAATCAAAAGATTTTTAAAATTTTATTAAAATATTAATATATTAAATGATATGTACACGTATTTATGAGATATTGTATAATAATAACAACAATATATATATATATATATATATATATATATATATATATATATATATATATATAGGCGGCCGTATATATGCAAGTCCATTTTTTTATTAGTTCAAAACCACATAAAGGAGTTTATTAGTTCAAGCCCGTAAATTAATTTATTTTTATTACATCAAGACCAAAGATGACAAATATACCCTTATCCACAAATAATACTCAAATACAAATAAATCTTATTTTTATTTTGTTCAAGACCAAAAAAAAAACACAAAACAAAAAAAGAAATATCACGACGGCTAAATATTAATCTATGCTATATATGTATGAACGAACATTAATATATGCTTATTTCTTGTTGGGTTGCAGTGATTTGGCCGATTTTGGAAAAAAAAATTGAGATAGAAATTGGTTTTTTTATTTTTTTCGTGGTTTCCGAAATCCGGTTATCCAGACCGATTTTGTACACGAATCGGCGTCATAATACCGATTTTGTTACCCAATGCGGGCGACACAAGCGTCGACTTTACAAGTCAAAATCGGCGCTCTAATGTCGATTATTGAGTACAAAATCGGTTTTCGAATACCGATATTTTTTAATTTTTTTTTAAAAAATAATACATTATATATTTGGTTAATTAATATTTTTTAAATATGTGAAACGAAAATGTTTATCACCATTCGGTGGCGTCTACCACTCCTTTAACCCAATCGAGTAGAGCTTTCCGTATCTCAATTATTTATTCGTTAGAGAATTCATTAGAATAATCCTCCATCAATTCCCTAGGTTGATGTACGAAAGTATGAGAAAACGGTCTTAAAAAAACACAGATAATAAAATCGGTATTTAAAACCGAATTTTGTAGTACAAGTCGGCATGACAATACCGATAATACAAAAATAAATCAGTGTTGTCATGCCGATTTTTACTACAAAAATCGGTTTTTAAGTACCGATTTTTATTAAAATAATCGGAATGTGGTTACCGACTTTAGTAACAAAAATCGGTATTTGCAGACCGATTTTTGGTATCGTCGAATTTTTTTCCCAAAAAAAAAAAACGACCCAAAAGCAAAAATAAACGGTTAAAACATATTTCATTGTGTTCTCCACCCTCGTAAACCACCATATCATTGTTTTCTGGTTCCATCGTGAATGTTTGGTATGTATTTGATAATTTTGGTGTGTAGGATTTCTTGGTGGGTTTGTGAAGAAGAAGGTGAAGAAGGAGGAGAGTTTTAAGTCGTGAAATAATGAAGAGGGGTTTCTGAATTTATGTATTTTATTTGGTCTTGGACAAAGGAAATAATTTTTTTTTTTAATATTTTGTGTTTTTTATTTGATTTTAAATTTCATTAAGGGTAAATTAGTATTTTTATGTTGGAGGTCTTGAACTAATAAAAAAATGGGCTTGCATATAACCGCCGCCATATATATATATAAAGATTTTTCAAACTTGTATATGCAATTAGTTGATGGCAATCGACATGCCCGAGTAATCAAATAAAATATTGAAAAAAATAAGAATAAACTCTCTTGAATATATCTCTTACTTTAAAATATTATTAGAGTTGTAAATTACAATAATTTTTTTTTTAAATATAATTGGAGATGAACAATATTAAAAGAAGAAAAACATAGTTATGATAAGACGTAAAAGTGTTGGTATTATGAGGAATTATCATATATTAACTTGTGTTTGTACTTATAAGCTAATATTTTAGTACAATTTTTAATTTTATTCTAAATATATATATTTTCTGAAAATCGTACAACTCGTACGAATGTGTTTGTACTTATAAGCTAATATTTTAGCACAATTTTTAATTTTATTCTATATATATTTTCTGCAAATCGTACGAATCAATCATAAATCGTACAAATCGATTTAAATCGTACGATTTTCTCAAAAGTTACGATTTAACTCACCGGTTTGAATCGAAAAGGATCCGAATCGAATCGAATCGAATCGTACTATTTGAATCGTAAATCGTACAATTTTAATAACCAATGCTAATTGATATACTGTCTTTGACTCTTGGTCTTCATAAATAAGGAAATTAATTACTACACTAGCACAATTATATTAACCATGCATGCAACACTGTGAAATTTTATGCTCTTGTGTTTCTTGGAGCCAATTAATTTCCTTTTGTTGTGTTTTTTGAGGGCAAACCAATGATATACATACATATATATATATATATGTGCGTTAGCATGTTGATGGTTTTGCACTTATGATTATGATGATGTATAATTGTTAATTGGTTATAATCTCTTAAATGTCACAATTTTCTTGCAATTTGTTGGTAGAAATTTTTATGGTATAACTTGTTTGACGATAATTTTTTACTGTCTATTGTGTTTTAATTTATCAATATGTTTTACGTTTATATTGATAATGTCATTATTATACATATGATTTGTATTTGGAAATGAAATACGAGACAAACCAACTAATTCGATTATCCTTGGCATTTGATCAGACAAAGTGAATGCAATCAAGGGTGGGTTCTGAATATGATTGCATAAAAAATAGTTGAGGTCCGATACTTTCCTAATTACCGTTCATTTCAAAGAGATTAAGTGTGAACCGTCTAAAAGAATCAGATAAAGGGCATGTGCAAATCACGTGCTGCAAAACACGTGCAAAACACGTGCAAAACACGTGAACGATTGATCAAATGTAATCCTTTGTGCTGACATAACGACGCAGAGTCATAGTATTTGTATGATTGAGCTGAATGAAGAAACACCCTCGATTTTCTAACTTTTTATGCCGTTTTCTAATTATTTAGGTCTGACAAAGAGCATGTAGATCCAAAGAGGGAACTCGAAGACCGATGCAAGGCGGCACCATGCACGAGGCCACTTAAAGAATATCAGGTGATTTCGTATGTACGTTTGTTAAGTTGATTGATGTTTAGTGGTTGACAATATTGTACCGACGGTGGTGTACCACCCAGGTTGCAGCAATGTAGCCTGCGAGGAGATTCCGGACATTCAAAAAGCCCGGGAAATAGCATCATCTGTTGATGCTATTGTCCTGTTCATGAAACCTAATTCCAAAACCGGATACCCCGGACGGACGTACCGTTTCTACACGGGGCCCACAATATACCCGTTCGGGCATGGACTCAGCTACTCGGGCTTCAAACACCGACTGGTTGAGTCACTTCCGACAGCCATGCTCCTTGATATTGAAGAAGGTCATCTATGTCGTCGGTCGGCTGGTTGCAAGTCGATTGAGGCTGTGGGGTCTGCATGCAAGAACTCCTCGGTATTTGCGGTTCGGTTGGGTGTTGAGAATATGGGGGATTTGGCGGGAAGCCACACTGTTTTGGTGTTTTCGAGGCCACCACGGGTCCACAATGCACCGAGAAAACAGTTTTGGCCTAGTGGAAGGTGATTTTGAGGCCAAAGGAAAAAGAGGTGCTGTGTTTTGATATTGATGTCTGCAGAGATCTGAGTTTGGTGGATGATTTTTTTTTTTTTTTGGTAATGCAGGAACCCGCAGCCAACCATATAGGTGCACTGGGTAAACCTACACTCTCGTATAATAGCTTGCAAACCATACGAGAGATGTAAACCACACTAGGCTAACCATGTGTGACAAGCTCGACCTAACGACCGTTGACAAGGAGATTCGAACTTGGGTCAATTGACCCAAGCTCTCTTGCTCCAACCGCTAGGCCACCCTTGCGGGTTAGTTTGGTGGATGACTTGGGCAGTAGGACAGTGGCTTTAGGAAAACATGTTCTGCACGTGGGAAGTTTGAGACACTACTTTAATTTGACTGTTTAGAAATTACATGCCTG